CAGGTCAGCGTCAAGTCCGCCGAAGCCCCGTCTGAGCTCTTCGGAAATACCAGGCAGGCCGATTTCCACGCCGGCGCGGAGCGACCGGTCTGGTTTTGAGGAAGTTTCAAGTGCGCATCCGCCTGTGAGGAGAGGGGGATGGGAGTTAGAGGAGTAGGGGGCATGGGATGGAGGGCCTGGGGGGCTTTTTACTTTTGGGTGCTGCTCTGCCGCAGAACAGGCGCGCGTTCTACAGCACCGTCGCGAAACACTGCTCACTGTTTCGCGACAGTGCCGTAGCGCATTGGGTGTCGAGAAGCACCAGTTTGCCTGACTATTGGCAGCATGTCCTTACGCATCCAGGCTCTGTCGTTCCTCGTCCCTTCCGCACGTGCTCCACCATTGGTCTTGACAGCATCGCGTGCATGCTGTTTCAAGGCAGTTTTAGCTCCGTGGTCCGTTACCCCTTGTTCGTCCTGCACGTGTTCCGCCAGCTGGCGTGACAGCGAATGCACACCATTTTAAGGCAGCTGTCTCTCCTTCCTCCATCATTCCTCGTTCTTCCTGGAAGTGCTCCGCCATTTGGCGTAACAGTGAGCGAATTCTGCTTCAAGGTAATTAACTTGCTCTCAGTCCTCGGGCATTCCTAGTCCCTTCTGCACGTGCTCCGCCAGCCAGCGTGACAGCGCGTGCGCTCCTCCGTTATTCCTCGCTCCTCCCGCACGTGCTCCGCCAGCCAGCGTGACAGCGCGTGCGTTCTGACAGTACATTCTTCACGTCCGCTTCACAGCGGCTTTGTGGCTTCAAAGCTACTGGACCCGTCCTGCAGATGTCTCTCTGCTGGCGCTTGTTCAGGGGACGGGGCGGGCATGCTGTCGGCGGGCTCGGTTCCCGCTGGCGCTTCTCTCCGTGACGGCGATGGGCCCAAAGTCGTGGCACAGGGGACGATTGAGCCCACGCGTGGTGCATAAGCCGCCATGCAGTGCAGCCAAACATGCGCACGTGCGCCTTGCAAGACGAGGGCTCGGCCTTTATTCATGTGACTGCTGGCGATGCCAGAAGCAAGCTCCGCCCTCGAGGAGGAAGAGGAGGAGGAGGAGGCGGTGGTGGTGTGGTGGTGGGGGAGGAGATGGAGGATCGATGGAGGGAGGGATGGCTGGGGCTCAGCCGCCGACGCGCTCGGCGCCTGCCGAGACCGCCTCCCTCTCGGGCGGGAGCTCGGAGAGGCTTGATCGGAAGGGGTTCCCTCCCGGCCTGGCTCTAGCGCCGTGGGCGCGGAGGAAACCGCGGCTCCAAGACGGCTCCAAGAAGGGGCCCTCGGCCCCAAGAGGCCCCCAGGAGGCCCCCAGAGAGGCTCCAAGAGGCTCCCAAGAGGCACCGAAACGGGCGCCAAGAGGCCTCGTAACTGCTTCTAGGAGGTCCCCGAGAGACCTGCCACGAGATCTGAAGATGCTTCCATGAGGAGCCCCAGACGCCTCCAGGACAGCTTCAAGACCGCTCCAGAGCCTCTCAAGGCGGCTCCAGTACGACCCAGGATGGCCTGAAGACGGCCCAAGAGGCCGCCAAGATGGTCAAAGTTGGCCCGAAGATGGGCCCGAGGGTCCCCAAACGCTTCCACGACGCCCCCAGGCGGCTCCCAGAGGTCTGGACCGAACGTCAATCCAACACGGTCGTGGTTGTCTCCAGATGGCCCATCACGCTGCCAAGGCGTTACATGAAGGCTTCTAGACGGCACAACAGGCTCCACGGACGCTCAAAGAGGGTTCCCAGACGGCCCCCAAGACGGCCCCACGAGGCAAACATCTGGTGATGTCCGTAAGTAGGTTGTTAGTTCTTGTTGGGCTTCCATAGATTCGGCTTGCCGATGGTCCAAACTAGCCCCGGAAGCACCACCACCACCACCCGCTTCAGGACGGTTTCAGCGGTTCCCCCCAGGAGCGCCCAGAGCATCCAAGAGGCCCCGAAGCCGCCCCAGGACGCTTCCAGGACAGCCCAGCAGGGCACCGAGTCGCGCCCGAGCTGCTAGAAAATAATTTCCAGACGCCCGCGGTTGGAAAGGATCCTCGGAGACTCGAACCTAGCGCGCGCCTCAGTCATCCTTCAGCCTCCACCTTCACCCGATCTTTTATTCCAGGCTACGCAGTCAGTGCGAAGCCGTCTCACCTGGCTGACTGTGACAAAGCGAGTTGCCAGCCGTACGAGTGGGTGATTCGCAGTTTGTCGAAGGTTTTTCGCGACATGTGCAACGCCGCCTCAAGTGGCTGATCGTGTCAAATCATGCTGTCAACCATGGTCTAAACAAACTAGCCTGGCGATGACACCCTTTCCCATCAAGTGGCGACCATAAACACAGGGTTCACTTCACAAAAACACATCAACTAATCGGAACTATTTCTGAACGCTTCGCCGAAGAATTACAGACCGCAGTCAACGATCCCCATGCACGCACGCACTCTCGCTTTTTAGACATCGGAAGCGGGGGGACCACGGAGGTGTGCCGAAACGGGGCGGGGCGAGAGGCGCGCGACGTGGAACGGAGTGCAATGCGAACCTTGCCACGCGGGCCTTCGCTGGAACTCCCTAGAGGGCGGCGAGCCGCTTGATTGGTTTGCCGAAACGGAGCGGATCACCGTGCCATTGGGGCCTTCTGTGGAGCTTCCAAGAGGGACACGAAACGTGCAATGGGTGTAGCGAAACTGGGTGACGCACCACGTGAATCCTGCCACTGCGGCCTTCGGTGGAGCCTAGAGTGCCACAAAACGATTGAGGGATGCGCCAAACTGGGGCGGGTAACCATGCGAACACTGCCACGGGGGCTTTGGGTGTAGCTCCCATGGGGGCACGAGACGAGTGAGGGATGTGCCAAAGTGGGGTCGGTTACCATGCAAATCCTGTCACTGGGGCCTTCGGTGTGACTCCCTAGAAGGCACGACACGTGTGAGGGACGTATCGAAATCGGGGGGGACCACACCCTATGGGGGCACGAATCGTGTGAAGGGTGCACCGGAACGGCCATGCGGACGGCAGAGTGTGAAGGGTGCACCGGAACGGCCATCCCTCAAGAGAGGGATGGGACCAAATTCGTGCGTGTCTTCGTGAAGGAAATTTCGAACACACGCTGGTTGGTGGAAGAAAACTCTGGTGCGGGATTCAGCTCACGTGCACTTTCCCAGATACGGAGGAGGCGGAGGAGGAAACGGAAGGGGGAATGGAACGGAGTTCAGGAGCGGAGAGGGGGGATGAGGAGTTAGGGGGAGGGGAGGGGTATCCTGTGAGTGGATTGAGAAGAGACGGAGTAGAGGATGATCTGGATAGGCGAATGGGGGAGATCCTAAGCCCGCGCGAAGCTCGCGCGTGGGGTCGAATTATAGAAATATTTATGTGTATATATATATATGCATATATGTGTATAATCTGTTATGTTATATTATCGTGTCGTAGATTTCATGCTATCTGAAATGATGTTATAGTACAGGTTATCACATCATTGTGTTGCATTATACTGCGCTGTATGATAACATAATATCATATATTCTACTATGGTGTAGTTCATTATTTAATGTTATCGGATTCTATATCAACTCATATTCTAGTATATGAAATTATAATGTAGTATTTTGTAATATATATGTGTGTATATGTATACGTATCCGCCGGCCACCTTGTGGGGCCACCAGGCTGTAGGACCAGGGTTTGATGTTCCCTGCGCAAATTCCAGTTTCCATCCACTGTTACAGTTCTGCTTCTTGTTGCTTACTGTTCCTTATTGTACCTTGTTGTAGACCGCGCGAGGGGGGGAAGCCGAACACCGCCCTGGCTAGCACCTCCCGGGAGGGGTCTCAGGGGTCGATCGGCGGGGTCAGGGTCCAAAAACCCATCGGATTTGCCATGTTTCTAAAATTCGGCGGCACCCCTCACGCAGATCGGCGGGGTCAGAGTCCAAAAACCAATGGGATGTGCCACATATCCGAAATTCGGCGGCACTCTTCTCCTTCATCGGCGGGATCAGAGTCCAAAAACCGCTGTGATTTGCCACATTTCCAAAATTCGGTGGCACCCCTCACGCAGATCGCCGGGGTCACGGTCGAAATACTTATTGGATTTGCCACATTTCGGAAATTCGGTGGCACCCCTCACGCAGATCGCCGGGGTCAGGGTCGAACAACCAATAAGATGTGCCACATGTTTAAACTTTCTTGGCACCCCCTACGCAGATCGCCGGCGTCAGGGTCCAAAATCATAAGGGATTTGAGACATTTCTGACATTCGGTGGCACCCCTCACACAGATCGCCGGCGTCAGGGTCGAAAGACTTTTGGATTTGCCACATTTCGGAAATTCGGTGGCACCCCTCCTTCAGATCGGCGGTGTCAGGCTTGAAAGACGCATGAGATTTGCCACATGTCTTGAATTTCGGTGGCCCCCCTCACGCATATCGCCGGGGTCAGGGTCCAAAAACACAAGGGATTTGCCACAGGCACTCCTCATGCAGATCGGCGGCCAGGGTCGAAAAACCAATGGGATGTGCCACATGTTTTGAAATCCGGTGACGCCCGTCACGCAGATCGGTGGGGTCAGGATCCAAAAACACATGGGATGTGCAATATTATAATAATTCGTAGAAAAGCTTTTTGCACAGCATACGCGAGCAAGATCGAAATACAACACCGAATTCAACAATTTCATCAGAATTTCAATTTGTCTGGCCGATTACCCATCGTCTTCGCGTGAAGTCCCGACGCTGGTTCACGGCGGTGCCAAGGCCTCATGATTTCGCTCTTGCAGTGTCCATTATCCGAGAGAGGGGACCGCCGGCAGGGGACGAAGCCCTTACGGATATAGAGAGAAAAGAGAGAGAGAGAGAGAGAGAGAAAAAAAAAGAGAGAGAGAGAGAGAGAGATAGAGACAGAGAAAGGGATATAGAGAGAGAGGGAGCGGTGTGCGTGTGTGTGGTGTGTGTGTGTGTGCGCGCGTGCGGCTCCCGGCCCACCAACTTAGGGACGTGCACGAGGGGCCCCGCAGGTGTCGCTGCAGAGGCCGTCATCAAGAGGGCCATCGAGACGAATTCCAAGGACAACATCTCCTGCATGGTGGTGCTGATGTCCGGCGCGAGCGGTCCTGAGGAGAGTGTCGAGTTCAACCCTGGGCCGCTGACTGCCCCAGAGGACGTCAACGCAGAAACACCTCTAGACACCACCATGCCTCTGGGCCCCAAGGATGGTATCAATATGAACCGTTGTTCCTGAGATCCGGGCAGTGTAGTTTTTCCACACTGGGCTCCGGTTGTTATTTTTCTCGATGCCCCAGCTTGTTTTGCAGTCGAGGCCTCGGCCAGGAGGCGAATGCACGGGATGGCTTGGACTGGGCATGGCGGTGTGTTGGCGCTTCCCCAGCGAAGGACAAGACTTTCATGACCGCCTACGAGGCCATGGCCAAGCGCGCGGGTCTGACCCTGGCGCAGGCGGCGGAGCTGCGCTTCGAGCGCCTGCAGCAGTGGCTCTCCGCGCCTGGGGGCGGGCAGGAGGAGGCGCTGCACGACGAGCTGGCGCTCTTCGGCAGCCCGGCGGGCACCAAGGGCAGCGAGGAGAGGAAGGCGTGGTTCCGGTCGTGGCTGCAGAAGCTGGCGGAGATCGGGGGGGGGGGGCGGAGCGAAGGAGCTCCTCTTGGGCGGGAGGGCAGAGGGTGAGATCTCGAATGCCGTTTGGCCCAACGCATCGCCACCCGTCAGCTTCCCTCCCCTTCCCCTCCTTCCCTCCCTTTCCCCCCCTTCCCTCCCTTCCCCCCCTTCCCTCCCCTCCCCTCCCTTTTCCTCCTCCTCCCTCCCCTTCACTCTCCCTCCCCCCCACCCTTGCTCTTTTTCGCCCGGGGCGGGGCGGGGCAGGCCAGGCCGGTCTCTTCTGCGCCCTTCGAGCTCCAGAGATCGAGCCGTGCTCCCCCCCCCAACCCCACGCGGCGTGGCTCCGCGCGACGGCTCGGCAACAGGTGCCACTGCATTCCCCGCCTCCGCCCGGAGCAGCATCGGCTTTGTGCAGCATCTGGGGCGACGAGATCTATACACAGCCACTGACCCAGGCCTGGCTCATCCTGGGCCCAGGAGCGGTGTTTACGCCTCCCAGGCTAACGCAGGAGGGCGTATACACCGCTACTGGGACCAGGATGGGCCAGGCCTAGGGCAGTGGATATGTACAGATCTCGTCGCCCTAGCATCGGCCTTCACCTCTAGGCGAGTAGATGGGATCCGAGGATCGCGCTGCATCGCCGATGCATCGGCGATTCAGCTCGATGCGGGGCCCGAGTTGCTCCATGCCGGCGTCGCCGATGCACCGCCGACGTCGCCGATGCATCACCAATACATAGTCGATGCATCGCCGATGCATCGGCGATGCGGCGCGGTCTTCCGACCCCATCTACTCGGACCCTATCTAGGAGGCATCCATCACCCCTCTCGGTTGGAGTTGCGGATCTGTCTAGCAATCTCTTTTTCGCTTGGTTTGTGGTACCCATGGCACGCGATGGCACGCGCGCCGGCCAACAGGGAAACATCTGAATCATCACATGCGGGATGCTGGACGGAAGAAATCCCCGAATCCCCCTCCTCTCGTGCTCTTGGGGGCTGCCGGACAGCCCTCCCTGGCCTCTGGGCGAGGCTCCCGTGATCGAGCTGGGCCGAGTCCCAGGCCACGCCCCCAGGACAAGCAGAAGGACAGGGGCGGCGAGGCGGGCGGGCTGGACCCTGACCGGATGCTAATGCAGATGCTGATGTCGCGCCTCGACCGGCAGGATTCGGCAGTGCGCCGAGGGCGAAGTGAGGGGGGGTAGGCCTGATCAGAAGCGGTGGGGCTCCAGAGAAGCGCTCATGCCTTCCGAGAAGCCGCAGTTGTCGCAGGAGAAGGCTGGAGGCCTTCTGAGGCTTCCCCTCGGGGGCCCCGCCGAAGGACATCCTGTCCGGGCTGCTCGGCGGCGACGACAGGGGCGGGCCAGGCGGCGCGGGGCGTGGCGGCGGCCGCCGCGTCCGCGCGCCCGACGCGATGTCGCTGAAGAGGGCCGTCGACGACCACCCGGCCTTGGAGCCGCGGGGGGGGGGGCTCTTCGCCAGGAAGCAAGCCCAGATCTCGGGCGCTGCTCTTTTGTTCAATGTTGGCGTTTTTCCCCGAGTTCGGTCGCTGGGGGCCGTTGTCGGGCCCCGTGGCCACGAAGAGTGAGCCAGGGACCAAAAGCTACCCTCCGAAGAAGCGCTCGGGACCTCCCAGGGCCGCGAGTAGAAGAAAGCCAGATCGGTGGATGTCAGCGATCGGGTCCTGAGGGGAACGGGTTCTCAAGCGGTTTCGCCCCATCTTCGGGCTGCCGGGCCCTTCCCAAGGCCCAGGGCCGCCAAAACGCTGTTCAGGATGAAGAACTGGTCGCAGGGGGAAGGCCCCGGGTCCAGGACCCGTGTCCTTCCGGGCCCGTTTCGAAGTTGTCTCTTCTGGATCGCAACGCGGCCATCCCAGCTCATATGGAATTGTGGCCACTGGACACGGGGGGGGGAGTGCGCGGTCCGTGGAGTGCGCTGCCGTCCTGCCCTCCTGCCGGGCGGAGGCCAGACGCGACGGCACCCATGGTGATTTGCGGAGTTCGTGCATGCATGGTCCGCTATGGGGTCCCGCCTGATCCATTGACGACTGTTCACGTGCCGTCCTGGTCGAAGCGTCTTCTGCTTTGTCGCTGCTGCCGTGTGCTTGGGCTGCCTTCCGCGGTCTGCTGCGCCGCCTCCGCCCCGGCACCCTGGTCGACAACACGTAAGAGTGACCTCTCGCCGGAGTGACATTTGGTGTGGGCCCATGGGGGCTCCCCGATTGTGGAGTGAGGTGCGATAGCAGCGGCCTGCGCGCTTGTTTTTTGGTCCCCCGCGCATGCCCAGAAGCCGCGCACCAAAGGTCACTCTTGCCCATATAGGGTCATTCTCGCGTGCAGCCGACCTGGGAGGAGTGGGACTCGCGCATGGCCTCCCTCGCCGGCATCGACGGCATCGTGAAGACCGACGACCCCTCCGACGGGACGAGCAACGTCGTCTTCCCGCCGCCAGTGGACCTGTGCGCTTGGCTGCCCACCAACGCGCTTAAGGACCAAGTCAGCGACGCAAAGAACGGGGTCGTCTTCGCCGACATTAGCGCGTAAGCTGCCCGCGTAAGGTCGCGCGTGAGCGCCATCGTTTCCAATGAGGCGTGCCGCCCCGGCTGCGCGCGTAAGCCGCCGCGTAAGGTCGCTATCTCATTTCGCGTAGGACCCGTTTTGGATCGTCGCTCAGGTGGAGATGAAATGGTGGGCTCCAGCTATGCTGTAGCCTTGATCATCAGGAAGAATTTCGAGCACCAGAAAAATACCGACATTGGAGGGCATGCTTTAGGCCCACCAAAAGAGCGAAGAACTGTTTTGTGATTTGCACGGAATGTTCTTAGAATCGTTCTGGTTGAGACTGTTATGTTTTACTACGGTGGGTTGATGTTAGAAGCACATTGTTCCCAACCATCCTGTGGTGTTGGGTCCTCGTTTTGAAGAGACGGTGGCCCGCGTCTCCTCTCCTCCCCTCCTCCTCTTCACCTCTCCTCCTCCTCCTCCTCCTCCTCCTCCTCCTCCTCCTCCTCCTCCTCCTCCTCCTCCTCCCACCATCATCATCGTCATTCCACCGAAGGTCCCAATGGGTGTGCCCGCATGCGTCCCGCACACCCATTTCGGCACACCCCTCGCACGTTTCGTGGCCCCATAGGGGGCTCCACCGAAGGTCCCAGTGGGTGTGCCCGCATGCGTCCCGCACACACATTTCGGGACACCCCTCACACGTTTCGTGGACCCATAGGGAGCTCCACCGAAAGTTTCAGTGGGTGTGCCCGCATGCGTCCCGCACACCCATTTCGGCCCACCCCTCACACGCTTCGTGGCCCCATAGGGAGCTCCACCGAAGTTCCCAGTGGGTGTGCCCGCATGCGTCCCGCACACCAATTTCGGTACACCCTTCATACGTTTCGTGGCCCCATTGGGGGCTCCACCGAAGGTCCCAGTGGGTGTGCCCGCATGCGTCCCGCACACACATTCCGGCCCACCCCTCACACGTTTCGTGGCCCCATAGGGAGCTCCACCGAAGGTCCCAGTGGGTGTGCCCGCATGCGTCCCGCACACCCATTTTGGCACACCCTTCACACGCGTCGTGGCCCCACCGAAGGTCCCAGTGGGTGTGCCCGCATGCGTCCCGCACACACATTTCGGCCCACCCCTCACACGTTTCGTGGCCCCATTGGGAGCTCCACCGAAGGTCCCAGTGGGTGTGCCCGCATGCGTCCCGCACACACCCATTTCGGCCCACCCCTCACACGCTTCGTGGCCCCATAGGGAGCTTCACCGAAGGTCCCAGTGGGTGTGCCCGCATGCGTCCCGCACACCCATTTCGGTACACCCTTCACACGTTTCGTGGCCCCATAGGAAGCCCCACCGAAGGTCCCAGTGGGTGTGCCCGCATGCGTCCCGCACACCCATTTCGCCACATCCCTCACACGTTCCACGGCCCCATAGGGAGCCCAACCGAAGGACCGAGTGAGTGTGCCCGCATGCGTCCCGCACGCACCCCTTTCGCCACATCCCTCACACGTTTCGTGGCCCCATAGGAAGCTCCACCGAAGGTCCCAGTGGGTGTGCCCGCATGTGTCCCGCACACCCATTTCGGCACACCCCTCACACGTTTCGTGGCCCCATAGGGAGCTCCACCGAAGGTCCCAGTGGGTGTGCCCGCATGCGTCCCGCACACCTATTTCGCCACACCCTTCATCCGTTTTGTGGCCCCATAGGGAGCTCCACCGAAGGTCCCAGTGGGTGTGCCCGCATGCGTCCCGTACACCCATTTTGGCACACCCTTCATACGCTTCGTGGCCCCATAGGGAGCTCCACCGAAGGTTCCAGTGGGTGTGCCCGCATGCGTCCCGCACACCCATGTCGGCACACCCCTCACACGTTTCGTGGCCCCATAGGGAGCTCCACCGAAGGTCCTTGTGGGTGTGTAATTTCGGCACACCCCTCACACGTTTCGTGGCCCCATAGGAGCTCTGCCGAAAGGTCCCAGTGGCACAGTCCGCATGCGTCCCGCACACACATTTCGGCCCACGCCTCACACGTTTCGTGGCCCCATAGGGGCTCCGCCGAAGGCTCCAGTGGAACAGTTCGCATGCGCCCCCGCCACTCATGTCGGCTCACCCCTCACACGTTTCGTGGCCCCACAGGAGCTCCGCCGAAGGCTCCATTGGCACAGTCCGCATGCGTCCCCGCCGCTCATTTCGGCACACCCCTCACACGTTTCGTGGCCCCATAGGAGCTCCGCCGAAGGTCCCGGTGGCACAGTCCGCATGCGTCTCCGCCATTCATGTCGGCCCACCCCTCACACGCTTCGTGGCCCCATAGGAGCTCCGCCGAAGGCCCCCGTGGCACAGTCCGCATGCGTTCCCGCCATTCATGCCGGCTCACCCCTCACACGTTTCGTGGCCCCACAGGAGCTCCGCCGAAGGTCCCAGTGGCACAGTCCGCATGCGTTCCCGCCACTCATTTCGGCACACCCCTCACACGTTTCGTGACCCCATAGGAACTCCACCGACGGTCCCCGTGGCGCAGTCCGCATGCGTCCCCGCCATTCATTTCGGCACACCCCTCACACGTTTCGTGGCC